GATTGAAATCGGAAATCTGCAACGGAATTTCTGGATCGACGATCGAGATATAGAGAGAGAGATCAAGCGTCGGAGAGCTTATCGGAGTGTCTTTGATTTCCGAGTCGAACTCGCCGGAGACTGAGTCAGACCTTAGGACGGGAGAGAAAAGCGAAATTGGGTTTTCTGTATTTAAGTAGAAGGGGCGTTACAGTTTAAGGCTCGTTTTTTTTTACTTTTATTACGATAATGCCCCTGCACTTAGTAAGGATTTTTTAATTTGTTTTCCTTTTTCTATATGTTTATGCGCTTTTGATAGATTTGAAAAGTAAACGATTCTTCAAAATCGGGCATTGATTACTATCTTCGTCCATTTCTTGACCAATTACAGTTTTTTTCCTTCATAAATTTTTTTTTTTTTCCTCGGAAAATTATGAATATTTAGTATGCAAAATAAATTAAATAATTAATATTTAGTTATGTATTTATTACTTGTTGATGTTGTGAATCAACGTATCATTAATTAAGTAACTACTGATATTTTTTCTTTGAATTTTTAGAGTTTTGCATGATTTATAACTTTCGTATTCATTGTCATTAAGAACAAACTAAAATTAAGTTTTCCAAAGCTTATTAATTGAAAAATGAAAACTGTCGACAAAACATTTACAAACCTGTCCCGGTCACCATCTTTTTTTACTCTTACTGTCGGAACCTAACTATCAAATTTTTAGTAACATTGTTTTTTTTTTTAACATTGTTTTTATTATTGAAGTTGAACTTGAAACCGCCTTTGCCTTAATGTGTAAAATATCTGACCATATTTACCAATAATTAGCTTTACAAAACCCGACAAAATTGGATTCATTAGAGCAGCTAGTTACTACTGAGTACTTACTACTACTTAACCATCGGTTCTCTTAATTGCAATTTAAACATTCTTATGAAGCTATCATTTTAACACTGCTTAGAATTACTAATGGGGCAAATAACACATAAAGTACTTCATAAAATAAAATAAAATAACAAATCAAACACGAAAATATGTACTATTATGGAGTAGTATATAGAGTTCATAAAGTAGAGTTAATGTTACCTTAAGAAAGTCAATAAGCGCCTAATTGGCACGCAACTTTGAGTGATTTCAACGTTCATTTTTTGTTTCCCTATTAAAATCATTCACCTAACAAAAAAAAATATAGCTGTAACCGATGTATACATTTTCATAACGTTTTTGAAATTTTGTTGATAAACGTGACATAATAACGCTTTAGGTGGAATGATAATAATGTGAACTCTGGTCTTATTAATACAAAGCGTGTATTTTAAACCCCAATTAGAATGGAAAAGATGAACGAGCAAATAGGAAATGACGAAAATGCCCACGAGACGAGAGAGGAGGAGGGTCGCACGTCGGAGAAGCGCCGTTGACTCAGATTTTGCCACGTGGAGCTCTATTATAGCCCACGTTTTCTGCACTCTCCTTTTCCCCATTTTCGAGCCACGCCACTTATTTGCCTTTACTTTTTTTTTGCTAAAATTTTTCTTACTTCGTTCGTTAAATAAACTATATATCA